CTTTACCGGACGCCTCATTTTTTCTCGAGAATAAAGGAAATGTTCCTGAATGAGACAAAGGACGGGAGTGTGTCCTCATGAAACTGGTACTGACTTAGTGCTGCTGTAATCCAGAGCTGACCTCTGAGTGCAGGTGGGACAGATGGTACCTGGGTTCTCCCCAGCAGGCATCAATGTTGCCCTTTCAAGGCTCATTAGTCCTGGGTTCGCAGGACACCGATCCCAGTTCTCTCACGGGGTGAAATGGGGTGTCCCAGAAGAGCCTATCATGGACACCCTCTCCCTGACTGCTAGGCTGCATTAAAGGAAGTCCAGAGCCAGAGACTGACCAGGGGAGGGAATCTCAGAGCCTGATGGCGTGTGAGACATCCCACCTGACCAGAGGGCGCATCACCCCTGGGTCTGTTAACACCCACTGATCCTGCCTCTGAGATCAGGGACACGAAGGAGGAAACAGTGAGAGGTGGGGAGATGGGAGATGTTACAGCTGACAGGATATTTTAGTAATGTTTTGATGAATACATTTTGGTGAGTTTGGATATATCAAGATTTATTTTTTCATTGTAAAGTCATGTCCCTGGGGAATTGACAAAGTTTTGCTTAAAACAGATGGGGGGAGGGATGTGCACGGGACTATGGTATTGGCACACGAGTGACTCGGTGACGGGAAACCCATGGGGATTACAATTGAGATGAAAACAATATATGTAAAAAATAATCTAAAAATAAACTGTTATATTATTTAAAAAATAAAAAAAAAAAACAGATGGGACCTTGTACTGAGAACCATGAACAAAAGGATTCTAAAAGTTGCATGCAACATTTTCGTGAAATAAAATTTAATACTTCAAAACACATCAATAAAAGAAGCTCTTGATTTCATCAATAAAAACCACTCCAAAAATTTATGATTCATTTTTTTATCTTAGTAACAAGCCTGAAATAGAACAGGATCCTGTTCAAGAAATGAATATAGAAGACAGAAAGGAATTGAACACAGAGAGGAACTGCATACACAAAACACACACACACATGCACACCGTAATAATAATCACACACATAACAATAATAATAGAGGTGATAATGGACCTAGCAATGGTCTATTTTGGTTTTGTACACAACTACACAGATAGTAACGTCCATTTCATGATTTGTTCCTCATCATAAGCTGTATCAGCTTTATTTCATGAACAGAAAGAATATTGCTATCTGTGGAAATATCTAGAATGCATTCTGAGAGCACTGTGGTAAAAAGCACCAGTAACATTTACCCTATGACAGCCAGCCCCTGATACCACCAAGAGAACCTGGTTCTCTGTAGCTCCTGGGACACAGCCACAGGCCCTGCACTGTGCTCTCAGGCCCCTGATATTCTGAGGGGAACCACCCTGCAGCTGTCCCACATGCCCCGCCCGCTAATTTGCATCTTTTTTCACATCAGTCCACATCCCTGGACACTTATTAGTAGGCCAGCCCCAGCCCCTGAGAGTCCGTCAGACAGGACCCAGCATGGACATGAGGGCCCCGGCTCAGCTCCTCAGCCTCCTGCTGCTCTGGCTCCCAGGTGAGGATGGAAACCCCAGGAGGGGACCAGCCCCAGGGTCAGGATCCCTGGCCTTAGGGAAGTCCTCTGGTGACAGGGTGAACAGTGGGTGTGTTTTCTGTTTCCATCTCAGGGGCCAGGGGTGATATCCAGATGACCCAGTCCCCACCCTCCGTGTCTGCATCTCCGGGAGACAGAGTCACCATCTCCTGCCGGGCCAGCCAGAGTGTTAGCTACACTCGGTTAGCCTGGTACCAGCAGAAACCTGGGCAGGCTCCCAGGCTCCTCATCTATGGTGCATCCAACAGGCCCAATGGCATCCCAGCCCGCTTCAGTGGCAGCGGGTCTGGGACAGACTTCACGCTCACCATCAGCAGCCTGGAGCCTGAGGATGCCGCCACTTACTACTGTCAGCAATATAACAGCTACCCGCCCACGGTGATACAGGACCGAACAAAAACCACCAAGCAAGCAGATGTATGAGGCCAGGCAACCCCTGTTTCTCCCCCTGGAGCCCCATCTCCTGAGAATGTTTCTCAGACACAGTCAAGCTTTGAAAATAACAGATAGGTTTTCACACAAGACACAGAGGGTCCTTGGCACCCTAACTCTCTGCTCAGGTCAACAACACAGGCATGTCAATATTTTTGCTAATTTAATAAATACAGAATGAATTAAACCCAATGAAACTGGTTATAGCCCCAGGTTGATTTCATACAGCAAAAGTCACTCACTTTTATTCAACGAATGAACTGTACATACAGACAATTAAAGTCTGAATAGATCCTTCCAATGGCATGAGATGTGGTAATCAAAGAAGCTGATACCACAAGGGGACGATCCTCTTGGTTCCACCCTGAAGGAAACGCATCTCTTCTTGGAGACACAGGCTGTCTGGCCATTTGGTGCTAGCCGTTCGGTGCCCACGCCTGTGCAGGAAGCCTAGGGGCAGGGTTGCCTTCAGCTGCCTGCTCCTCACAGGTGATAACCCCACGGGTCACACAGGTGCTGAGGATGATATCAAGGCCTCCCCCTCTGCCTTCCAAGGCTCCTCGGTCAGTTGCACTGGAAATCACAAATAGTAGAGGTTTATGGGCAGTGGGAACCCAGAGGGCGGTAGTGACTAGAGGTGGACAGCTGGAGCCTGTGTGGTCACTGCTGCCCAGTTCTAAGAACATTCCCAGTTAGGGAATGACCCAGCTACACTGGAGCAGCTTGTGGCATTAAGTAACAGACAAGCAGTGAAAACCTGAAAGAAAGAATTCTATATGTAATTAAGTATAGAAAAACCATATGACATTAAGAAGGTGTTCTTGATTTTAAAAATATAGAGAGGACCTGAATCTGTCGAAAGTGAAATATACAGTGTTCCACCACCAGGAAAGCAGGGAGGGCCCAGTGTGCTGAGGCTTGATGTTACCATGAGATGGAGCCAGAACTCGTGTGTGGAGTGAGGCTGATACACGGGCCAAGCTGTGAGCGGTTCTGAAATGTTGTCATCTTGTAAAAGAATGAGAAGTCAGTAAGTTAGATTTAAAAACTTAAAAAATAGTGCTAGGCATCAAGTTGTTCTTTACGTGCAATTACCTTGGGCTCAACAACTGCCAGAAG